TAAAGGTGACAAAAAATGGTGTAGATGATCATAACATTAGAATCTCTCGGATGTGTAGATGGAGGAAATGGAGTTTTTTTTGGAATTTGCCTTACTAGAGTACAAATTTAATTCGGCATAATTTAAATGTCATGAATAATAAGAAAAATGTGTTTGATAATGTTTTTAATACAATCATGAATGTGTCGGGTAAGACTAAAGACAATGCCAACTGTAGAGAAGACTTGAAACTTTTTTATAAAAGGATAGAATTAGCAAAGGATGATGCGTCTAGGAAGTATCCTAAAGCTATCTTTCCCGTATCTAACTAATAGAAAATAAAATTGCTTGACTAGATCAAACAACTCAAGTTTTCCAATGGATACATGTCCAACCTAGCTAGATGTGTTAATATGTGATATGACAAACTTTATGGGATTAAAAGTCATGATCTGTCACATGTTCATGTAAAGGTTAGTTCCAATTACATTTTAGGAGTTTTTGTTGAGAATTGTTTGGCAAGCACTTACAGAGTTGGGTTTGTTCTTTAAGTAATTGACTTTTACGAGTAATAAAGAAAGAAGATATGTTGCGACTTAATGATGCAATACCCATCATTTTATACAAACTATAACATATATTCCCACCTAGTTTTTTTGACTCCATGAAATATCTTTCAATCCATCTTTCATATGAGGCATCTATATCGGGACCTATACAATATCGATATATGTATCTATTTGAAATGTATTGAAATTGAATTTAAATATAAAATTAAATAAATTTTCAACAATCGAAGATTAAAATAATTTATATTGCAAGTATCTACGAAGCTAAAAAAAATAATGTCAAGAATAAGGTTAAAATAGAACGAATCAATATGGAATGCATATTTGATTGAAGAAGCCTTTTTGTTTTGCTCGTACTATTTCGAGCCTTGTATGCATAGTAGGCATCGAAAAGTGCCACGTCATGTTAAGTGTGATGGAGAAGAAAGTAACCACATTGAAGGGATACTATCTATATTCAAACCACAAGGTCGACTAATTGGTTGACACATAATATGAAAATTGATGCAAGTTGACCACAAAGCAACCCATCAATATATATTATTGAATTGTGAAGAAGTAAAATCTTACATTGAGTGATTTTGTCAAAATTCAATTTCTAGATCATAAATATTTAATTACCTATAATAATATTAGCAATCATAATAAACACCGACTCACGTTTGTCATTATTTTTCTTTAGTGGATTTCTTATCAAAATGCGAATGAACAATCCCTTCATGTTCGAGAATGAGCTTGATAGTCTAACCGAAACCGAGTTTACCTCCTAGTTTAGTCAATATGTAAATATTATCATTTTATTCATATTTAGTAAGTTGGTATTATTAATTAAAAGGTAACTAAACTTTTATGGGATTTGATGTTGAATTTACGGACATAAAATGCATAAGCAATTTCTATGAAAGACCAATTCTTGAAAGATCTTACACAAGGCCCATTGCTTACTATCGAGATCATACATGGGTTACTTTGTTAACGGTTATAGGTTTCAAAAACTTAAGGGATCTTTGAAAATATGATCTTTCAATAGTGGTGTCCGTATTAAAGGAATCAATTATAATACGACTAAAAATGACTATTACGGGATATTGACAAAAATTCTTGAAGTAGAATATCCTATATTACCAATCAAGATATTAGTATTGTTGAAATGTGATTGGTTCGATCCTAAATGGCAGGAAACAAAGGTTCATCCATAGTACAAACTTGTGGATGTTAACCGTATGAGAACCTTGAACAATTACAAATCATTTGTCATAGCATCATAGTCGACTCAAGTGTATTATGTTGAGTGCCCTAGCTTAATGTGCAAGAATAGAGATTGGTGGGTTGTTTGTAAAATCAAAGCTAGGTCTATGTTTGAGTTGCCTAATTCATCGATTGTCTGTCCAATAAAATGCTAAACCATTTCAACGAACGATCCAAAAATTCGACATGAATTGATAGAAGAAGTTGAGGATATTATTTTGTTAAATAATCCAACTGGATCGTTTATAGATATAGAAGTACTTATGGTTGATGAAGATGATAAGAATGAGTGTGAAAATGCATCGGATGATGAAGATGATAACTTAAATAGTGATTATGATAGTTCTAATTAAATATATGTTTATTTATTGTATTAGTAACAAATGATGCATTTTTTATTTGTTTATTTGTTACATATGGTAAATAATATCAATTTTCATAAATCTTTAAAATATTGGTCATGTATTTTGATTTTGTTGTATTTAAAATTGGTTGTTTATCAAGTAATTAAGAAATATCTAATTTTTGTGTTTTTTTATTGCTTCATACCGATAATATATTTGTTATATGTTATTTATTTGTTTAAATTTATATATTTCAATAATGACTTGTGGTTTGGGCCAACCCCTCTCACTCACTACGAGATCATGTTTCGACGATTGTGGATAAACATCACCATCCGATGGCGATCCACTAGGATCCTTTATAAGCATCGATCGAGGATCTCCGACTATAAGGCTTTTACGTGGCTCCCGTAGCCATGGAGCCAACACATCTATAGCAGCTTACGTCCATACAGGATACCTTTTTTGGATAGGTACCCTCACCGACACTAGAGGTTTCTATACCTACATTGAAGATTCTCACACCGCACCAAAGCTTCTAGCATCGACCTCATAGAGTACCTCATTCACCAGACTTATCTAACGTTCCAAATAGTTCCTAGAGCTCTTTCAATCAATGATGTATTTCGTCGCTCAAGGATGATGTGTAATTAGTTAAATTCGATGGATTAATTTTTTCATTAAATGAAATTGTTAAAATTATTTTTTTACTTATGTAGAAATATTTTGACTGGGATTCGACAATTGTAAAAAAATTTATCTAAAGAAAATTAATATTAACAATTACAAATCCTAGGAGATGCTTGTCGGAAAAGCATGGGAGCCTCGGCAAGAAAGCGCTTCCGCCACTTTATTTAAAAGTGTGTTTTGCTAGCCGAATGGCTTGCTTTTATTAGATAGGAGGTTTAAGATGCGTGAAAACAAGATTTTATGAAACCTAATCGCATGGTTCATTTAAAACAAGATTTTATGAAACCTAATCGCATGGGTCATTTAGACAAAGCATCGCAGAATCGATTATCGAAGATCGATGGCTCGGTATTGGTTCTTCTAAGCATACGAGAGGGCTCCATATTTTTGAAAGAGCACGCCCGTTGTTTGGTAAATTGCACGCTTTTTATTATTAATTACATGTTTTAGAAAATTTAAATTTTCATCTCATATTGTTTGTGATTCATTTTTTCAGGAGGCAAGATTAGGCTATGAGCCAAAGAGTTTTAAGTTGTTTCGGACGACTCACAAGCAAGCAAGATGGTTCTTTTATTGATCTCCTATCCCAACAAACAATGGTAAGTGTTTTTAAATTTTAAATTTTGTATATGCAAAGATAATCTAAAATTTATTTTAATCGTATAACGATAGGAGCTTTTTAAAGAGCTCATACAGGATGTTGTTATGATCCAACAAGCGGAAGGCATCCTAGAGCTGAGAGGTTGACAAGAATGCCATATACCTCAATGTTGTTGGGGAGAAAAAAGACGGTATATATGGTGTAGGCACGCAGGTGGTGCATTATATGTCCTAGTCTAGTAGTAGCAACTCCTCTACGTCATCGCATTATACCGACAACATAACTAACAAGAAGATTCAAAGGTAGTACAAAGAGACAAAAGAAGTGATGAAAGGGATGCAAGTCAAATAACACAAGATTCAAAACCTTGACATGGAGCAACAGAGTACCATACATAAGCTCAATTCTCAATACAAGACAATGGCCTCCATGTTGATCAAGTTGGCATAGACATCCGGGTTGCCTATAGATTCATCGATCGATCAAGACTTCATTGTTTCTCCTACCCGACCTCTTGCCCAACTTCCCACCAAGCCCCCCACCCGAGTCTTAGGAGGAGGATAGGGGCGTAGACGATCAAGATGACACTCGAGAGTGACAATTTATTTTTTTACTTGGTTTTTTTTTTCCATACATACTACTCGAATATTTTTTGTTAATATTAATTTATATTTAATTTATAATACTAAAATTATACTTTTTTTCTAATTGTTAATTAATAACTACTAAATGTTTTTTTCTAACTAGAATATTATTAATTTAAAAAAAATACAAAATGCAAAACATATTAATTTTTTTAAAAAAATAATTAGCGACGAACTAGCGATGATTTAACGGCGGCTACAATTAGCTTTGGATTTTAGCGATGGCATGTCGGTTATTAATCAACAACAGATATAACGATGAAATAGCGATGCGTAATACGATGGTTTTTGGTGACCAATATAGCAACGGAAGTTTTACTTTTAGAGATGAAAGTTTCGTCGCTATAGTGGTGACGGAATGCTTTTCGTTGTCGCTAGGTTTAGCGATGGTCATAATTTCCATCGCTATGTCATCACTAAGCTGATTTAGCAACGGATTTTTCCTAATTAGTGACAAAAAAATCCGTCGCTAATTATCTATATTTCTTGTAGTGTATTTTGTTTGGCCCGCAACATAGTGCAAGAAGTCAACTAGTTTTATCCGATTGTATGTGTTAATGTTTTTACCAAATGTCATGTTTACTTTTAAAAAAATGATTGGAAAATCATTAGAGGAGTTGAATTTAAACAATTTTTTTAAAAAATAGAAGAATGTGATAAAAAAAATTTTAAAAATATATAAAAAATGTTAAGAATAAAGACTTTCATGGGATTAATTCCATGATAGTATGAAACATCTATCCTTTATTTCTTTTTTCTTTGCTTTGCACTGGTTATGCTGGAAGAGACAAAGACATCGAAAGGCATTTATTGTTCCAACGCAGTGCAGGCACTCTAGAATGACCCATTCTTCTCAGATAAATTAAGTATATATTGTCCACATACAGAGAAGGTGAAGGAAATTAAACTACCATATTTTTGGAATCTAAAACCTTGGAGTTATATGGACTTGCAACGGATTCTTCATCAGTACCACTGCCCGCTCTAACTTCTCAGCCAAATCAACATCATCTCCATCTACAGCTTTCCACTTGTATTTCCAAATCAAATTAGCCACAAAATATTCCAAATGAAACATTGCTAAACGATAAGCAGGACAAATTCTCCTCCCTGCACCAAATGGCATCATTTTAATCTCTCTACTGCCTGTAATATCAAGTTCTTGGCTTCCAATATTCAAAATCCTATCAGGCTTGAATGCCATAGGATCCTCCCATACCTTTGGATCCAACCCCATCTCAGCAACCATAAAATTGATGCTTCCATTCTTGGGCATCAAATATTCATCCAAAACAACATCTTGCGTCACTGCATGCGGTGCCACAAAATGCCCAGGAGGATGCCGCCTCAGGCCTTCCGAAATCACTGCTTTCAGATACGAAATCTTTTGCAAATCACTTTCTTCTACCTCTTCCTTTCCATTTCCCACAACCCCTTTAATCTCCATGAATAACTTTTCTTGTATTTGTGGGTACTTAACCAAATTAGCCACGATCCATTCCAAGGCAGTTGAAGTAGTATCAGTTCCTGCATTAAGAAACTCGTTGCATAAATTAGCAATTTCATCCTCATTTAGTTCTCTTTTCTCGTCAGGAAATTCCAGAGCCAATAATGTATCAATGTAGGATACAGCATGCTCATATTCTTTGGTGCTTTTACTACTTTTGCTTGTTTGCTCCTCTCGCACCTTCTTTCTTGCTCGTATCAATGGAATCGATACATCCTGTCGGCTTTTATTGAGCTGAAAGAATTCCTCCCAGCGTCTACGCAGCACGATCTTTGTCAGTCTTGGCCAAAAATTGAGTATATTAAACTTATGGGAATTATAAAACGCTCGCTGCTGAACTTCCTTTATTAGTTTTATCTGAATATCATTAACACTATCACCATAACACATTACGCTCAAAAGAAAAAACATGGCATATTGAAAGTGATCCCTAACATGAACTGGATGACCAGATCCAGCCTGGGACTCGAGGCGATTCCTAAGAATCTGTAGCACCCTCCAGCGCGAATGAGAGTAAGATTTCACACTGGAAGGGTGGAGCATATTTTCTGTAAGGTTACGGCCGTAGGAGACGCCAAGTCGGGCCATAGAAAGAAAGACTAACATTTCTCTGATTGCTACTAACAACATTTTGAGTAGCAGAAGTTGGTGGACGGTCTGCAAAAATGGCACCATTTTTTATTAAGGCCTTGTGAGCGAGCGAACGATCACCTATAAAGATGGCAGGGCGAGTGCCAAAGTAGATCGTTACAATTGGACCTAACTTGGCATGGAGGGATTTGAGGATGGATAGCATACTAGAGGAAGACATCCGGAGCCATACGAAGCTGCTGATTATTGGAAAGGGTCGAGGACCTGGAGGAAGTTTGTGGTGAGGGGGGTTCTTGTTGATAAAGCACAGCCGCCTGAAAATGAATTTGATGAGGGCAGAGATGGAGAGGGATAGGAAGGTAGAAATGAGGATGAGGAACCAGGTCCCCATGTTGAAATGGAGAAAGTGGGTGATTATAGGCAATCCGAAGAGGGTAGATTTGCAGTATATAAACAAGCAGGATATGGCGCTAGTTAATGATGTATTTGGTCCCTATATTTTTCTTTTTTCATTCCTATTTTGCTAAAGCGTGACTCGTGAGGAAGGCTTTTATTTTTTAGAAAAATAAGAAACAAGAAGAAGAAAACAACAAAAATACGACATAAACAAAATACAACGAGATAATCGAAATGACAACACGTGATCAACACCAATTTCAATACAAAATTAATTTATTATAACTATAACAATTCCTATATTGCTATTTCCAAACGCAGTTTTAACTCCTATTGTTAGTACGTAATTTTTCTAAAACTCTTACAGCAGGTATAGCATGATTTTAAGCGGTTTGTTCATAATAATATAAATTATATATAATCTTATTGAGAGATTTTATTAAATAGTTTAAATTTTAGAATTAAGACGGTCATTTAATATAATATTAAAATTTTAATGATTAAATAGTCATAAATTTGAATCTTATTATTTTTATTTTTTAATTAAAATTAAAAAATTAATTATAAAATAGTTGTGGGTCTGTATAATTTTCAAACTGAAAAACTTTTTATCTAAAGAAATGTATTAGAAAGTAATATAAATAGTTTAAATTTTTTAGTTAAGATGAATTTTTGAAAGTTGCTTTATTATTTAGAGATGGAATTGCAGGAGAGACATCAAAAAATTATATTATTCATTATAAATATAACAAGAATTGATCCATTTTGGGAATACCTTGTTGTCTGCACTCTAATGATCGGATACCGTTGACATCATAATTAAGTTCAAAGCAATGTGATTAGGTGCTTAATTTTTTATAATTTTATTTTTTTATGGTTTAAATAGATAATTAGCTATTAAAAAAAATTCTCATCACATCCGTGATTCTGTATTAACAATTTTTTCTTGATTATTAAAGGCAAATGAGCCTTATTCCAGCCACATTCTATTTCTAACATCTTACTATATTATTATGTTGTATTGTGCGACTCTTTTGATTTCATGGTTCTTATGATGACATGCCATTCAAAAAAATAATATTCAGACGCATTTCCAAACAAAAAAGTCAAGCATTTTTCATCACAAAATCAATGGTACGAATATTAAGTGTCATGATCTATTTATAACCTTTTGTTTTATAAAATTCTCTTAAAAAATCTAAAAAAGAAAAAAAAATAGTTTGCAGTTTCTATGATTTTTGTAAATTTTAGTTATTTTTATAATTTTTATTTAATTTATGTTTTTACTATTTTTAAAAACACTAAAAATTTTAATTTTAATTTTTTTCATATTTTTTTGGTATTTTTATAATATGAAAGTTTACATTATTAGTTAACAACGTTTTTTAAATTCATTTAATTTATTTTTTATGTTAAAGAAAATACTAAAAACATCTTTAGAATATATATTAAAAAACATAAAGCAATAAAATCAATATAAAAGAATTCAAATATAAAAGTTAGATAGTTTTGTGACCACTATCTAACCAATTAATTTTTATTTTTTTATTTTTTGCTAAAAAGTCTTTAATAATTAAAAGAGAAAATCATTTCCTCTTTTTTTATCCAACCATTGATTTCCGACTATTTGCTACTCAATTTTTAATTTTTTGTTTATTTTGGTGCTCGAACTCACCCGAGATCCAATTTTACCGATGTGTTCGGCGAAACCTGTCACATGGCAATCAAAAAATATCATGTGACAATTAACTTTAGACACGCTAGCAATCCATACTCTTGATTGCTTGTGGACACTAAAATAGAAAAAAAAATATTAAAGATTGAGCACCTAAATAAATAAAAAAATTAATGGTTGGGCATCCAAAACATAGTTTTCTCATACTAAATGTCTCTCCTTTTACTCTAATCTATCCTTTCTTCATTATAAATAAATTTCATGCATTTTTTTTTCATAATCTTTATATTTGTGCGATCTCTCAAAACTTTTCTTTAAACATTGAAAATCATATAATTCTAATTCTCAAGAAAATCAGTAATTACATGCAAGCATATTTTATTATTATGCTAATTGCACAAACAATGTTAACAATGCATTCATTTCTTATCCCGCTTCATATTTTACTTATTAATTCTATTATTATCGTTATTGCTACTAAAAATATTGCACTTGTAACACCCAAATAAAAAAGCTTGATCATTAAATTTATTTATATTGATTTTATTCCATCCGAGCCTACTATAGATTTATTCATATTGCTCAACAAGTTATTGGCCACCAAAAAGCTTAATTATGTCATCCATGATATGTTAGTCAATCTTCTCTTTAGATGTAGGGAAAAAAATTTATTCTTCATAAATTTCTCCATTGATCAACCATTTGTTTCACAAATAACAATCATAATTGGACCTTATATGTCTTTTGTTTTTCTAAATTATATATATAACGCTAAATTTATTTAGACAGACTAAAAGGATTTCAAATTTTCAAAACATAATTTTTAACTAATACTAAAAAAATGTCTTCGATAAGTAGAAAACACCATGAGCATTATATAGACAATATTTATTGGTAATGCAATAAATATTAAGTGAAAATTGTTGGACAAATTTTGCGATCTCGAGATGATAAAAATTTTTAGAAAAATACATTTCATATGCCTAACCATTGATTTTTTTTCGTTTAGGTGTCCAATCTTTAATTTTTTTTTTCCTAATTGAGAGACCGCAAGCACCAAAGAATATGGAATGTTAACGTGTCCGGAGCTAACTACCACATGACGAGTCTCATCGAATATGTCAATAAAATTAGATCTCGGATGACTTTAGATATCAAAATAAACAAAAAAAAAAAATTTAAAGTTTGGGTAGTAAATCATTAGAAATCAATGGTTTGACTCTAAAACAAAAAACAATCAAAAGTTGGGCATAAAAAATAGTTTTTTTCTAATTAAAACAAGTACAAAAGAACCCATAACATATGATGTATGGCTTTGATTCCATCCAGCTCAAATTCAAAATAAATGAAAAGGATTTCATAAGTTGTTGTTTTGTCAATTGGGATTTTATCAATTTGTTTTTTTTTTTTTTTCCTGTCTTTAACTATGTATGCAAGGAATGGGAATGGGAATTTGAGTAATCCAAATGGAACAGTACTGTGATTTTCACTATCATGGTTAAAGGATTGCCATTGGTAATCGAATATGACTTCCCAAATTCCATTGGATGGTGTTCCTTTTCTCGGCCATTTCCATGAAATTAGAAGACAACTTTCAACTATTTTGTACTAGTAGATTTTTCAAGTTTTTGCAGGAGCATCCATACAGTCATGGAGGAATTTGCATTTCATACATACTCTGTGTAACCTTTTCCCCGTTTGGTTTTATGTTCATAAAAAAGAAAATCCTTTCTTGACTTTATAGTTATTTTTAATTTAAAAAAACATTCATTTTTTCAGATAATAATTTGATGTTTTAAGAAATTCTTTATTTTTTTATTATAGATTTAACTAGCTGGATACTTGCGTTACTCTGCTATCGAGTAATCATTATATGCGTAGAGTCAACAATTCACATGATACAATGTGGATAGAAGTCTTGTTTAAGGTGATTAACATAAGTCAAATCTATTTATTGAGTGAAATAGTTTAATTTATATATATTTATTAACAAAATAATCAATAATATTAGCATAAAAAGCTGTATTTCAATAATTGAGAGGTATTTTCAAAATATTATTTTAATTATTTTATTTGAAAAATATTGAATTTAGAACATGAAAAATAAAATAAAATAAAAACAAATAATTGGTATTATGTGTGCAATACATATTTAACTTTCAACAAAACTAATGATTCAATCCGAATGCTTTTGGGATGGTGGCATTTAGAAGTTGCTCCTAATATTATGCTTTGGTGTATCATAAGAAGTTAATGCATGACTGCAAGTTGTGTTTTTAATCTGTAGTGTTCTGTTCAGCCTCTAGCTATGCCTTTAATCTCTATTTATATGTTCTGTTAGTGTGCGCTAGTGAGTTTGCTGATTTTAATCAGAAGCTTTTATTGACGCGAACTTTGTGTGTTGCAAAAAATTTGAGCAGCAGCCCTCTTTGTGGGATTATGAGATTATGACTCCATTTGCTGTTCACTATTCTAACTATGGTGTGTTTGCGTCTCTGTTTTTTTCAATCACAAATATTTGGCTAATTTTTCTGCTTTAGCATGTCAGAGAGTAGTGCATTGTAATCAGAATTTAGCAAAAAGGTGGATGTTGTTCTTTATTTTTTTTGTTTTTAATTTGTTAGTGTTCCGCTCAGTCTCTGGTTGTGTTGTTAGTTTCTGCTTATATGTTCTGTTAGTGTGCACCATTGAGTTTGCTGATTTTAATCAGAAGCTTTTCTTGTTAAATTTGAGCAGCACCCCTCTTTGCGTATTATGAGATTATGGCTCAATTTGCTTTTCCAACTAAGGCGTGTTCGCATCTATGATTTTTTAATCACAAATATGTGGCTAGTTATTCTGCTTTAGCGAGTGGAGAGTGCATTGTGATTGGAATTTAACAAGAAGGTTGATGTTGTTGTATATTTTTTGTTTTAGTTTGGAATGCCATGATTGAATGCTGTAGTTTCTACTTAAATGAGCATGCTTATCAGCAGATGATGGAGGAGACCTTGTGAACTAGTCAGCATGTTGCTAACTTGTTGGTACTGTTATTGAAGGATCGATATTTCCTTTTGATTGTTCAATGGATTGTCTGCAAGCAATATTCATGAGATATTTCAGCTTTTTCAGAGTGTTAGTTGTTTGATGTTGGTATGGATTCCAGTATGTATATATGCGCAGGAAGCAAGACTTCTTCTTTTTATTCCTATGCTATTGATAAGGGATAAAGCGTTGTTGTGTTTAAACCGCACATTAAGATCATTGAGCCAATCTCTTCTAAAATGGGAAATAACTAAATGAAAAATTTATTGGATTTCGTGTGTCTTTTATCAGATTTGCAGCAGTAAAAATGGGTTGTCGACACTAATCATTTGTGAATGTCTGTTGATAACTGAAGAACTGACATGCTTAAGATCCAACTATTTTTAAGCTCTGCTTCATGTTATTCCTATTTGTTTTGAACGAGAAACTGGTATTCCGATTTATTTGCTTGACTGGTCAGGCTATTGGCCTCGTTTGACAAATGGACAAAATTCCATCAGATCAAAACCCATAAGGTTGTTTCGTCAAGTTTAGTCATGGAAGAAAACACTGCTAATCTACCTACTTGACATTTGAATGCTACATTAGGAATGCAAGAGGAGAAGAAAGACCAACATTGCACTATTTGATGTGGAATTTCAGCCGATAATAATTGAATTATGTTACAATATATAGGTTCATAGATATAATGAAGAAATTCCTGTGAGGTCGCAACTACCACTTACGTAAAATTATAACCAAACATCGTGGGAGATAAGGTATAAAAGAATATGCTGTAGAAAATCAATCGAATCACCACAACTAAAACCTACTCATATTTTGTACTGGTTTCCGACTTCTTATCGTCTGGAATGCAAGACGACCAATAAATTGGCAAGAGTGTGCAGACAGCCTGTATTAGAAGGGCCTGAGGAAATCCTGAAAAATCACTACCAGTTACTCCAAGAAATGATGAAAGGGCAACTCCAAGGTATCCACTCACTATGAATGAAAGGGCAGTAGCAGAAGCCACAAGTGCCATCAGGGATCCTTCGCATCCTGAAGGGCAGAGCTGTGCTATTAAAATATTGAATGGTAGGATCTTAAAGAAGAATAGCACCTCCAAAAGGCCTGAGAAGACTGTAACATACAATGAATCTGGCACACCCATACTCTGATAAACTCCCTTCACAAACAGCACATCAGAGAGCATGAATACTGCCATCACTCCCTGAATGGCTGCAATTAATTTTTTTGATGGAACTGACTTTAAATAACAGTTGTAGATGACGCTCCACAGAAGCATTGCTGCCTGCCCAAAAACTTTAGAGATCCCCAACACAGATGAATCGATGTTCAGATGTTGTGTTTGGTAAAAGAACATGGTTCCTGTTAGTGCTGGAATTATGGCATTTGATGCTGCCAACCATGCTATTGAGTAAGCAATCTCAGGTTTCTGTAATGCAACTGAGAGCTCTGAGAGCTGTTTTCGAATTCCAACTCTGGATGAACTTTTGGGGAGGTTAAGTGAGCTTTCACGGACGGTAATTGTAATAAAAAATTGCAGAGCAACAGTAAGGCCAAAAAAGAGGAACATAGCTTGGGGAGCATATCTGGTAATGGCAACACCACCAAGCAGGTTTCCCAGGACACCACCAGCAGAGGAAGCAATCCAGACAAATGATTGAAGCTCGCCTGAGGAAGATGACGGAGAATTTTTAGGAGACGTAGCGGGCAGCTTTCCTATCTCTGCAACGATGGCATCATTTGCAACCTCGGCTAATGAAGCACCAAGATTACTAAGGAGGAGACATAGGCTCAAGGTGAAGATTGAGATGCCTGATGAAGAGAGGATTGCTATAGCTAGCCATGAAACTGCCTGCAGAAAAGCTGCAATAACAGGTGAGTGAACATGTTATGGAGCAATTTGAGTTATATCATAAAAGAGATAAAACAGAACCATGCATATTTTTACAGAATCATATCCATCAGTTCTCCATGCTATCAAACTTTTTCCTTACAGGCAAATTAGAGAGAGATTTTAGATCCAATTCATAATTTCTCTGTTTCCAAGCTATCTTTGTCAAACGATATATAATTTGTGTCATGAGCAAATGTGTCAGGATAAATTATTGTGAAGGTGGCAGCTGGAATGATTCAAATAGATAAACATGCGTAGAAGGAATATTACAAGCTGATACAATTTGAAGAAGCGATGAGATAATATCCCTGAAAGTCAAAAACAGATTCAAGCAGTATCATCCTGCATAACTGATTTAGAAATCCAAATGACACCAAGAAGGGTTGTTTATTGAAACTTAAGATAAATATGTGCTTTGCCCGTCTGCCCTTACTGACAAGAAAAGTAGTTCAAGGTAATAAGATCCAACCATCATTTCTCGACACGCAAGTCATCTTTATCGAGGAATATAGAACTTATCCAATGAGTGAAAGACACAGGATAAAGTCATCATGACAGCAGTTTCGTTACAATGAAAACATCTCGTACACATTGAACTAAACCTAGGAAACATCCTTAATTCTTTTTATATTTTAAATATAAAGAAGGAAATTTGCCAATTAAATTCTGAAAACAACCACCATTGGAACTCCTTTTACAATCCCGGATAAATCCTGCATTGGACCTCCAAAAACCTTTCGTTCATCAAAAGACTCAAACTTTAACATATTTTAATCAGATCAAGAAAAGGCTGAAAAATATTAACTGCACACGTGCTGCCTTTACTTTGATCCCAGGTAAGTTCTGGAAGCAAATAAAATAAAACCAAAAAAGTGAAACACAATTCAATTCAGCAAATCCATGAACAGGAAAAGGAACAAGAAAAAAGAAGCTTGAGTGGTTGTGATTAATTCACTTACCACCGATGGCAATATAAGGAATGCGGTGCTGGCCAGAAATGTAAACAGCATCAGAAACGACACCATAGATAGGCTTACCAACCATGGGAAGATTAGCAGAGTTTTGAAGGAGCTGAAGAGTAGAAGGGTCCACATTAAGGCCATCTTTCAAGAAAAAGTTTATGGCCAGCCATGGAAAACACCTGAACCCTTGTACCCAAAATCCCAAACCCAGTATCCTCCTCATCAGGTTCGGGTCCATGCCACTAGTGAAGAAGAAAATGGAGAAGATATTTATTCTTTTCTTTCTTTTCTTTCTATTTTGAAATTTTGAGTTCAAGAAAGCTGTAATTTTTGGAGGTTTTTCTTTTCCGTTCTTAGAATTTTGTGGGTTATCTATGTGTTTATAAAGCACGCAAAGAGGTTTGGGAGGGACACGTGTGACTGTGTCTGTCTCTCTCTTTTTTTTTTTCTTTTTTCTTTTTTGTCTTAAGAATAATATAATAAAAAACATTTGATCTTGCTGCCGGGTGTCACTGCTCATTGGGATGTGGATCTGTCAGGAATATCGTCAAAAGAAAAGGGTTTCTTTCGGCAAAAAGTCATGGAAATGATCCGGCCGGTGTCATGAGGCCCTTTTCCTTCCAACCTTTATTACTACTTGAAAATTTCATTAGATAAAAGATGGAGTAAATTATAAATTAATCCCCTCATTTTGAGGAATGAATTAACGAAAATTTTTTATTTTAAAAATTAATTATTTAATTTTTTATTATTAAATTTTTATTAGATCTATCAAATTAACACCTAATATGTATAATACTCTTTAACATATATGAATTCATTTATGAGGATATATTTTGATATTTGGGAGAGAAAAGAAATGAAAATTAATAATGTGAGAAGTAGAAGTTTGAGCAGGTAAATGAAGGTTTGTTTTTGTGTCTGAGAAGAGAAAAAAAATAATAATAAAAAATTGTGTGAAGTAGAGAAATAATGCATAAAAAATAATAACTTAGAAAAATTGTAGTTGTGAGGACACTGTATCACAACTCTAGTTGAAAACTAATGAAAAGATTAAATTTTTGACATAATTAAAACGTTAATGATTAAATAGTAAGTTTTTAAAACGAAAAGAACTAATTAATTGATTTCTTAAAATGAGATGAACTAATTTATAATTTACTCTTAAAAGATATTACTCCATAAAAACTACATTAACAAATGTGCAAAAATAAGATGTACTAGCATTTGATTCAGAATAAATTACAATAATAATTTCAAGGGAATGATTTTACAAGAACCATCCAAAAATAAAAAAAATAAAAAATTACAAAGTCAATCTTCTTAAGGGAATCAAAAAACTTATAAAACATCTAATCTTATTGAAACTTTGTTTTTGTAAGTAATTGGATATTTAAGAAATTAATAAAATTTTCTTAAAAAATAAAATAATTGATTATAATCTTCGATATTTATCCTAAATTGTTAGGCCCTTTGATATAAAAACCATGTCAACCACGGGCAAATATACACATATATCTTGATTTATTAAAAAATAATGGTTGTGTGCAAAGTCATTTGAATTAACAGATATTCAATTTCTTAACCCTTTCAATCTCTATAGGACTTGAGATTAGAATCCTTATAGTTAATTTTATTTTATTTTTTCATAAGGAGTAAATTATAAATTATTCCCTCTCATTTTGAGAAACCAATCAATAAATCCTTTTTGTTTTAAAAACTAATCATTTACTCTCACACATTTAATTATATGAATAATTTAGTTTTTTCATTAGTTTTTTATTAAATTAATAATTTTTTCTCAAATTATTATTCTTTTATTGCCTTATTTCTCTCATCAAGACAATTTGAAAATAAAAAATACTAGTCTCCCTAAAAACTAATAAAATGATTAAGTTATTCAAAAATTAAAACGTAAAAGGTTAAATAATTATTTTTTTAAAAAAGGACTAATTAACTTGTTTCTCTAAACAAGAGGGACTAATTTATAATTTACCGTATAAAAGGGAGGACGGTAGAATATCCTTCACGTGGTCACGCGAGGCCAGATCTAAGTCAGGAATTTTCTAGCACTTTATTTTTATTATAAAAGGAGGAAAGTTGAATATTCTTGTGATGTAGAAATCGGATATTCAGTTACAAACTTAGTTTATAATTTCCTGTTTAGAAGTTAGGATCATTTTCTTTTTAAAATGATTATTGAAACTATTTATATCGTTATTAACGAAGAAAATGTTATAAAATTGGAATTTAACAAACATTAATAAAGATGCACATTAATAAACATTTTTGCAAAAATTATAAGGGTAAACAACTAAATCATATATATATATTAAAAGTAAATTAAGCATGTTATACGACTTAAAGCTTTTTGTTTTTCAATCAAACGCATTTTGCTAACAAACTTTATCAATAATCGAAAAAATTGATTGAAATAATAAATAAAAATCCAAAACATTATTTATGAAATATAATATATACAATTATAAAAATAAAGATAAATTAAAAACTCATGTTATTATATAAGAACACATTGACTTATTCACTCAAACTATGAATTATTATGTTATATCAGTATCTTTTATTTATATTTTCAAAAATACCTTTTTTAAAAAATAAAAAAAATGCATTTAGACAATCATGTATAAAATAAATTTTAATTAAAAGTATTTAAAAAAATACACCAGTGCAGCACTTTGAAACAAATATAAATAGAATTGTAAAAGAACTCTTTAAGACGGAGGGGTAATTTTTTTTTCTTTCTTTTTTTGAATTTGTTTGATAATTTCAATAAATATTTTCTATACTAAAAAATAGGGCGAAAAAAACTGCAGAAAGTATAGAAAATCAAAAAACATATATTACTTGATTATACAATTTACTTAATATTGTTAGTAAAATTATTAAAAAATCCAATTAAACAAATTGATTCAATACAAGAACTCTAATTAACACTTAAATCAATACAGGAATATGATTAATCAATTGCTTGTAATTCCAGTATGGTACGGATCAAACATAACTTTCATTCCAAAGAAGAAAAGCACGTTTCTGACAAATTAATTATCCAACATCTAATGGTAACATTCAGAAGATGCCATATACAGTAAAGGCAGTAGCAAATGCATCAACCATCAAGATGGAAAAAAGAACAAAATGGGACACAAAAAACTTTCAAAAATCTTCATCTAATGTATTGTTCTTTTATTGCAAAATCAACGACAATCTAACACCGAGCTATCATAGCAAATATTTCTCAACAACAGTCCGGCCAAACTTCTCTTGAACATCCTTTGGAGTTTCAATCTGGAAATAGCAAAAGATAAAACAGTGAACACAAACCCAGAGAGAGAGAGAGAGAGAGAGGTCAATGATCTAGGCAGAATGGATTACTTACTGCATTCAGAGCTTTAAAAAGAGCCTTAACGGTGTTATGAGGATTCCTAGAGCCAATAACCTACAAAAACGGTCGAGCTTTCAATTAAAACTCCAGAGTATAGGAGGTGTGATAGTGACTCAGATTTGGCTACTGAGCTCTTTACCTTAGATTTAACATTTTTGAAACCAGCTAAATTCAAAATAGCTTTGACAGTTTTTCCTGCTTTCATGCCTGAGCTAGTTGAGGCTGGCCACAGATACACCTACGGGACAGATAAAAAAAATAATAATAATAATAAAAAGAGGAAAAGGGACCAACTTGAGAGAGGGTAGGAAAAATGAGAGAGACGGGGAAAAGCAAACCTTGGTTTTCTTGTACTCTGTTTTTACTGCATGTGCAACTGTGTGCTCCTCATGGCGCTCTACATAATGGAGATTCTGGAAGCATTTCTCATGTGCCTGTTTGTTCAATAAAATTAGTTCATTGTTCAAAATATCTCAGACACATAATGGAATGCATTGACAACTCAGGCTAGTAAAACTAAATAGAAAACACTCGCAATTTGCAACAGAAAGTCAATTTCTAAAATGCAGTGCAACAAATTTCCACATACTGTGAGACAATGGGAAGAAAATACAGCAACTACCAAAAACAAATTCAGACAGAAGAAAATGAGAAAAAAGAACTGGCAGTAGTTACCACCCTTACATAATGAAATCGATGACTCCTTGCACAATTTTTGGAAACCAGCCACAACTTGTGGTTTAAAAAGAGGACACTTGAGAAATATCGGATCCATATCCCTAGTCACCAGGTTAGATAAATGACTATAGCCTTTTGAAGAGGGTTAAAGGGGCAACAAAATAAAATGGAATCAGAACTGCATGATTTCCTCAGCAGCCAGGTTTAATGGCAGAATGAGGGGCCAAGGTGAAAAGAAACCATAAAAAATGGTTAGGCCACACAAGATGAATGAGTTCAATACAAGATAACCTCAATGAAAGGATAGCTAGATGGGTGAAATATTGAAGCATATTACTCAGTCAAGGGAAAAGAGAATAAATTACTTCACCATTAAAAAACAATATTATTAAAGGCCAAAAGAATCTTTTCTTAGGCAAGTAAAAGAAAAATACAGATCAAATTTATCAACAAGAACTGATAACTAAAAAGTGCTATGGTACGTGGAGAATTGGAGATCTTCATTGCCATTTACTGGCAGAGGCTTACTCCCTCGGAGAGCTTATCCAAATTTTCATTACTAAACAAAAATAACAGGAATTCCAAAACAGACACAAATTAACAAGAAATTTTGAAGAAAGAGGAGGGCAGATCAAAGTAACACTCCTGCCTGATTGACAATGACTCACGAACACAACCAAGAGTATCAATGTTAAGATAGAAAAGGTAAACCTCGTGACAATCCTGAAATGCTAAAATATGAATACTGTGGCAATGAGAATAGCACGCAACTGTCTAACTAAAACACATTTTGGCTGTACACACGCACGCATGCACACAGAGAATATTCTGTTTGATTGCTCAAAAAATGAGTTGCAACAGTAATCCTCCACAATGGACAGCAAGCATCTTTAATCTATCATCAACAGAGAAGGCATTGTCACAACAAAAGGACTAAAAATGTATGCTACAGATACTTTTTATGTTTCTCATACAATTATACCCCTCTTCTATGCCAATGTCAGTGGTGAGAGAAAGAAAGCCTAGGAGTAGCCAAGAGGCATCATATATTACTCCACAATGAAAAATATTGTACATGTCAAGGAGCATCCAAGCTCATAAGTATATCAAAAACATCCGTCATTACACCACCTTCATGGACATCAATTATTCTATGTTTTGTGTCATAATGATGCAGAAGCTCGCAATCATAGCAACATTTAAAGTATTCAGATCAAAATCTGATTTATGATAAGTACACAGAATGTGCTGGGAAAAAAGATAGCATGCAGAGTCTAGCAATAATGTGTGCCATGTAACAATAATAATAATAATAATAATCGCTTTAAATAAAATAACAACAGTATGAATTACCTTCCGCATAGCAACAGGGACTTTTGGACCTTTAGCTTTAGCAAAACCAACAACACCATTATAGTTCCCACAAGCTAATATAGCAGTGAACTTGACCACTCGCCCTCCCTGGGTCATACAAAAATTTCAGTAATAATTCTACATAGACTGCTCATAAATCAAAGGACTACAACGCTAAGGCAGTGATACCTTGGTAGCTTTACAAGTTCGATTCACATCTATCACTTTGACATCAAAACCCTGTCAATATTCAATAACAACTCAGGTCACATATGGTGTATAAAACTGACAACAGTACCAAATAAATACAGAAAGATGCAAACACAAAATTAGTGTCGTGAAGCATGATCAATACGATGCCAAAAGAGGTAAAGCAACAGACATAGAAATCTCATTGCAAATAAATCAGCCTAGATACTCAAGGACAAGGCAACCACGATGCACGATGTACATAAATATGAACTTATACTCGCAGGGCTGCCATCTTCATGCAAAAACCTAAACACACAATCTCTGACGCATTCACAACCAAAGAGGTTAATGGTTAAAATTGATGGAGACATAGCTCAAGAAGCAAGAAAAAGGGGCACCTAGCAGTAGAAAGCAAGTACTTACTTTCCTGTACATTGGTGTTCTTTTCTTTTCTGTCAAAGAATTTCTCTCCTCCGCAAGATTTTTGATCTCCTGCTCAAGAACCTTTCCCTTCTTTCCAAAAGTATGATCCAAGTCCGCTAACTTCTCTTCCAGTAACTTGTCTATCTCATTCAGCTTCTGCAGCAGTATATCATCCCTCTCCTTCATGTCATCAAACTCCTCCTCGTCGCCATCATCCTCATGTTGTCCTTTTTTATGTTGCTTTCCAAATCCAGCATGTTTTACAGCACGATTATTTGGTCTCCAACCTGCATCAATAACTCCAAAATTGGCAGGATTATTAGGATCGTAAGCTTCCTTCCACTTCAGCAATCTCATTGCCCTGTTTAATTTCTGTTGAAGGATAAATTTATCCTTTCCTTCTGCTACCTTCAAACGATTAATCAAATCCCCCATCACCCTATGCTCCGGAAGAATTCGCAAATGTTTTTGCTCATAATTGTCAACTTTCTCCATCCATTTGAATGCCTCATCAAGTGTCTCTGTCAATTAAAAAACATTAATCAAAACCATCAAAACAACACTTAACAACCAACATAACAACAGCCCATTTTATATCCACAATAGCATCATTTAAATAACAAATCGAATATCAAAAGCAACAATTTTATCACATACCAGCTCCAACAAATTTCTTGAGTAACTCTTCATGTCCTTTTAACTTCTTCTGAAAAGCTCTCTGTCTTTTTTCAGCATCATCATCATCATCATCACTGTCAGAATCAGTAGGTTCATACTCATAAATTTCCGGCTGACCTACATCCTTCAGTATCTTTTTCTCTAATTTTTCTATCAATGGACCCACACCCAAGTAATCTTCTTCATCTTCTGCGTCAATGTCTTTAGTGTCGAGTCCCAATCGCTTTCTAGCCTCTCTTTCCTTCTGTTTCTCGCGCTCTAGTTCAACCAGAAGATCCTTGACTACATTGAAGGAGGCAGAAGCGGAAGTTGAGAAATAGGCTTTGGAGAAATGGAAGAATGAGGGTGTTTGGGTACTGGGAAAGTTAGGGAAAGTCAAGATTTTCCGGGAAAATTGGGGTATCTTAGGTTTCCTAGGTTTTTTAAGGGACTGATAGAGGAGTAAGCGAGACCATGACTTGGGGTTCATTTGTTTTTCCTTTTAGGTGTTCGTTATTGAATCATTTGAAAGAGCAAGAAGAGAACGAGAGAGAAACGGAGAGGGAACAAGAGAAAATTCTCTCTGCTAGGGTTTTACTACTTTATTTCTAAACCCTTAGAGGGCCAAGGCCCAATAGGGTCCATAAGGGTAAGTGATCTTTCTTCCTTAGACCATAGTGGGCCAAGTCTTTTGGAGGTAAAGAATTTTCTATCTGGAAATAAGAGGGCTTTAGCTAGCATTTGTCCCTCCCAATATTCTTCAAATTGTTTCAATCAAATCCCTATATTTTATTTTTTTATTCTGTGACGCCCATATGACAATGAGAGGTTTCTTTTTTTCTTTTTTCTTTTTTTACTATGAGAGGAATTTTTTTCAATAAAATTGAAGAATAAATGATTGGAAATTGTCCATATCTAGTAAAAAATATATAAATAATAAAAATAATTCTAAATTTTAGTAAATAGAAAAAAAATAGTTCTTTGATTTTCATAGAATGAAATAAAAAACTATCAAACACAACTATAAGACAAAAATAAAATAAAACCCAAAATTTTATTCATGATTAGTACATCACACCAATTTTATTTAGCCTAAAGATTAATATATATTAGGATTTATTTTTTCTTTTCATGAAATATTATACGTTAAATATAGTAAAATAACACAAATTTTGTATTTTTGTATATTTAACATAATAAAAGCAACACAATAATAAATACTTAACATAATAAATAAAAAAGTTATTTTTTATTATCTTTTCCTTTTAATTTATTTTTAAGATTATTCTATTAATATTTTTACATATTTTAATTATAAATAGATTTATGTCAATCATTTATTGGATTAATATTATTGATTAACGATCAATTCGAATTAAAGAATCATATTATAAACAGTGCACAATATATCCAGACTCAATCAAATCAAAATAATTCTAAAAATGCACAAAGAAATGTAGATAAAATTCGAATTAGTATTGATAGTTACTTTTCGAATATTATAAAAAAAAATTTATATTGTTACTCTATTGAAAAAGTTGGTGCAACTTTGTATTGACAGTAACATTTGAAAATTTTCAACCGAGGGGTAAGTGGAACACTTTTGAAACTATAAGGGTAGAAATCTAGTTTACAAAACCAAAAAAAAAAAAAAAAATATGAAAAGGTAAAATTAGGACCTAAGGAGATAATGACTTGTAACGGTGTCGTTTTTTGGCTTCCTCAAGTTCTTCTTCCTGCTGAGATTTCTCAGTCTCCCAGTCAAAACTCAAAACAGAGAGACATGAAAGCTCTCTGACACAACAAGAAGAAAGCAAACACTCCAAACCTTTCAGTTTCCTTAAAATCCTCGAAGACAAGAAGATTCTTCTTCAATTATGGTAAAACATTTCAAGTACTATCAAACAAGAGCTTTCCTCTCAAAATCTTTCACTTTCCTACCAACCAAACACTCAAAACCTCTCCCCAAAATCCTTCCCTTTCACCATATTCACACAGCTTCCTTCTCACCAACAAAAGCCCATCTTCATGCTTCCTTTTTTTGCACTCTTATACACCTGTACTTGACTTGTGGCAGACTTTCCAAAGCAACAGAAAGTTTCTTTGACATGAGAAGAATTCACCATATCGTTCCCACTCTGCCCTTATGGAACCACCTTATATACCAGTTCAATGCCACTGGCTTGGTTTCTCAGGTATGGGACCTTTATACTGAGATGTTATCTTCTGGGGTTTTGCCTAATGTTTTCACTCATAATGTATTGGTACATGCTTGGTGCAAAATGGGTCATTTGAATCTGGCTTTAAATTTGATTAGAAATGTTGATATTGATGTTGATACTGTAACATATAATACTGTTATTTGGGGGTTTTGTCAGCAAGATTTGCCTAATCAGGGTTTTGGGTTTTTGTCAATAATGGTAAAGAAAGACACATTCTTTGATTCTTTCACTTGTAATATATTGGTTAAAGGTTTCTGTAGAATTGGGTTGGTTAAGTATGGAGAGTGGGTTATGGATAATTTGGTTAATGGTGGGATTTGTAAGGATGTTGTAAGTTTTAATACATTGATTGATGGATATTGCAAAGTTGGTGAAATAAGTTATGCATTTGAGTTGATGGAAAGAATGAGGAAAGAAGGTGTGTTTCCTGATATTGTTACTTACAATACTTTGATCAATGGGTGCTGCAAAAGAGGTGATTTTGACAAAGCTAAGAGTCTAATTGATGAGATTTTGAGGTTTAGGAAGAAGAAAGATAGTTCTTTTGGAAAAATGGATGATGTCAATGACGACAATGGTAACATGAATTTGGAACCAAATCTTGTTACACACACCACAGTTATAAGTGCTTACTGTAAGCAGCATGGACTCAGCGAAGGGCTTGCACTGTACGAAGAAATGATTTCGGATGGATTCTTGCCTGATGTAGTTACTTATAGTTCCATTATAAATGGTCTTTGCAAACGTGAAATGTTGACAGAAGCAAAGGCACTTTTAAGGGAGATGGACAAGATGGGTGTGAATCCCAATCATGTTGTTTATGCTACTCTCATTGATTCATTATTTAAAGCAGGGAGTGCTTGGGAAGCTTTTATCTATCAAAGTCAAATGATAGTCCGTGGAGTTGCGGTTGATTTGATGGTGTGCACCACACTGATTGATGGACTTTTCAAGGCTGGCAAGTCTGATGAGGCTGAGGCCATGTTTTGTACGCTTTCAAAGTTCAATTTTATTCCAAATAACATTACATATACAGCAATGATTGATGGGCGCTGCAAGCTAGAAGACATGGATGGTGCAGAGTCTCTGTTGCAAGAAATGGAGGAGAAACACATTGCTCCAAACATCATCACCTATTCTTCTATAATAAATGGCTATACAAAGAAAGGAATGTTTGATGAAGCTGTTCATATTATGAAAAAGATGGAGGATCAAAATATCATGCCAAATGCTTATATTTATGCTACACTAATAGATGGCCATTTTAAGGCCGGTAAACCAGGGGCTGCTGTTGATCTTTATAATGAAATGAAATTGAACGGATTGGAGGGGAACAGTTTTATAGTTGATGCCTTTGTGAACAACTTGAAAAGGGGTAGAAAGATGGAGGAAGCTGAGGGATTATGTAAAGATATGATGTCCAAGGGCTTGTTGCTTGACCGTGTTAACTACACATCTCTGATGGATGGTTTCTTCAAGGTAGGAAGGGAGTCAGCTGCACTGAGCATGGTTGAAGAAATGAGCAAGACAGGCATTACACTTGATGTTGTTGCATATAATGTGCTAATTAATGGTCTCTTGAGGCTTGGCAAATATGATGCACAATCTGTTTATTCTGGAATGAGAGGGTTGGGTTTGGCTCCTAATTGTGCTACATACAACACCATGATTAATGCATATTGCAAGCAGAGAAAACTGGAAAATGCCATTAAGCTTTGGAATGAGATGAAGGCTCATTCAGTAATGCCAAATTCAATTACTTTTAATATTCTGGTCATAGGGCTTTCTAAAGCTGGTGAGACTGAAAGAGCAATGGATGTGTTGAATGAAATGTTGCTTTGGGGAATTCACCCTAATGCAACCATTCACAGAGCTCTACTAAATGCCTGTTCAAAATGTAAAAGGGCTGACACAATTTTGCAAATGCATAAGCGACTTGTTGGGATGGGACTCAAAGCCAATCAAGAAGTTTATAATAGCCTCATCACAGTTTTATGCAGCCTTGGTATGACAAAAAGGGCCACTTCAATATTAAACGACATGACTAAAGAGGGAATCTCCGCAGATACCATTACTTACAATGCCTTCATACATGGACATTTTATAAGCAGTCACATTGAGAAGGCTCTTGCCACATACACTCAGATGTTAAATGAAGGACTTTCCCCGGGTATGGGAACTTACAATCTCCTTCTGGGTGGTCTCTTAGCAGCAGGTTTGATGGGTAAGGTAGATGAAATACTTGGTAAAATGAAGGAAGGAGGCTTAGATCCTGATGCTTCTCTATATGATACTCTAATCTCCGGCCATGGTAAGATTGGAAAGAAGAAGGAAGCTATAAAATTTTACTGTGAAATGGTTGCTAAAGGCCTTGTTCCCAAGACTAGCACCTATAATGTGCTTATTAAGGATTTTTCCAAGGCAGGAAAGATGGATCAGGCTAGAGAGCTTCTGAATGAGATGCAAGTGAGAAGGGTGCCTCCTAATTCTTCCACTTACAACATACTAATATGTGGCTGCTGCAATTTATCAACACGACCAGGACTGAACAGGATAGCAAAGAAGACATGCAGGACTGAGGCAAGAACATTATTTGCAGAGATGAATGAGAAAGGGTTCATCCCATGTGATAATACTCTAGCTTGTATCAGCTCTACTTTTGCTAGACCTGGAATGGTGGCTGATGCGGAGAATATGTTGAAGGACATGTACAAAAGAAAAAAAAGTTAGTATTGGGGTGAAAGTAAAAGACAGGAAAGGCCACGTTCTGGGATAGCCAGCTTTGCAATACCATTGAAAATCTTTAGTACTGCTGCTATTGCAACACAGAATCATGGATTGCTCTCGCTTAAATCTTCAGATGAAGAACTGGTATTGATTTCTCATAATGACTTGTAGTTATTTCTATTTTCTTGATTAAAAATCCTGCTTTTTTGCAACGGGGTTGTGGTATTGACCATGAACAATCGTCTCTTCACTTTTCCTGGTCTGTTTTTTTCTTGATGGAGACAAAAGATGGGTGAATGGTGTTAAGGATTCATTTTCAGAAGTTGACTTGTTTTTACGAATTGGAAAATACTTTGGATACATCAATCAAAAGTCAATTTGCAGCACATGAGAGAACAATGAGCTTTCTTTTATGTGTTTTCTTCCACTCCCAGTGCATCATAATTTATTTTGATAGATTGTTAATTTTAGCCTTTTTGTGATTGGACTTTGATATTTTCTTCTCTTCATGTCTATGAATAAATTTTTTTTTTTTTTTTTACTCATTGACAATATTTAGGAAGTCATTAATTCTGGATCTGACAAAAATCAGAGTATGCTGTGTATTTTGTCTGTTTTAGGCAATCAATTCCCATGGACACGCTTTTAATAATATTTCTTTTAAACCATGGCTCACATTCAGTGATATTATTCCTGAAATTGCAGAATTGGTATGCTAATATCGTAGTTCGTGGCATCTGAAGAGTTGGAGCTGACAGATGAAGAGAGAAAGGCATTACACTACCAGTTTGCACTTGAAAGCAAACAAAGAAGTCAGTGCATCCTTCTGAAATGGGAAAATATTCATGCTATGCATGGGCGATGGATGAGCAATATCATCATTCTACGCATGGGCGATGGATGCTTTGCTAGATTATAAGAGCTTCTGGGTGGATCTCTCAATGCAGCTTCCAGGTGACAAAGGATTAATTTTGTTGCTTCATCATTCAGAAAATGCTCCCCGTGTTCTCTTAAATCTTAATATTAACCTGAGCAGCATGCCTGACTGATAGCACGATGACGCCAAAGGTATAATTTGCAAAAGCAAGATTTTTTTAGTTTCTGATGTGAAAGCGTTTATATCAGTCTTGCATGTGAAATTACTGCTGTTATCATCTTATAATATAACTTTTCTTTCTTCAGGTATCATCAACAAGTTCACAAAGAAGTTCTGTGCATTGTAATTATCAATTGGGCTAACTATCATCTTAATGTGTAACTTTTCTTTCTTCAGGTATCATCGGCAAGCTCAAAGACAAGTTTCGTGTGTTGTAATTATCACTTGTGCACCATTCGATCTCATGTAGAGTTCTTGAGAACATGCAATAAGATGGGAGGTGGTTTGATCTTTTCACGTAAGAAGCAGAAACTCTGTTGTTCGTTTGGTTTCTTTATATTCTGAAAGTGGAACGTGATGGTGCATCTGAGATATGATACTTTAATGCCATATCTTATTTATTATTCTTCTTTGCAATCTCTCCATTTTTAGGTTGATGCCTCTTCTTTAGACAGTTTTTGCAACTTTATGAGTCATCACAATGAGAACGTTTAACTTCTAGTTATTTGTAACGCACAAGGATTCATCTGGTAAATAGAAACCCATAAATTTTGACTCCAAAGTTGAATAGGATTACATATAAAGACCCAAAAATATTACCAGACCCATTTCACATCGGATACTAAAGTTTAGCCCTATACCTATAGGGATGCAAATTAATAAAATAAAATTGATTTGTGTAATTAAAGAAAACCTTATTAAAGTACACCGCTACATTCTAAGTTGTCACCCAAATGACTGTAAATATATGTCTTGATGATTACTCAATAAGACTCCAAAACATGCTAAATTATTGCTGCCTCGTTTTGTTATTGACTCCTTGTTACGGAGCTGCTTGGTCATGTCATTTTTTGCAAGATATGGAAATTGTGCTGTTTAACTGCTATAAGTACCTTTCTATTTGAACCCAGTAGTTGAAAAGAATATCTTCTTTTTTTCTTTTTTTTTTAAATCAGGCAACATAGTTGGTTACTGGGTGCTCGAGTCAAATGGTTTTTATTGAGGATCATAAAGATAATTCATTGAAAGAAAAAAAAAAACATGCTTCACTCCTAACTCCCAAATTGACTAGCTATATTACAAATAAATGAATAGCAACTCCAACTCTTCTATTTTGTGGGCTGCATCAAGGCCATCAAAATCTCATTGTTGGCAATTCTTTTCTTTTATTCAGCTATTTGTCTACCATGCTGATAATCTCCTATACAATGTACTGTCGCAATTATACGATAATGTTCAACAGCTTCGTTTGCAAAGTTGAAGTAAGCGGTGCATCAGAATAAAGCAACTTGAAAGAAAAGCACTTGCCTGGACCTGTCAAGGTTTACCTTTTACCCTCCTTTCCATTGAAGTTTTTGCGTCATGCCCTTTATACGATGATGGCTTATCTTTCATTCCACGTAAGAATATAGCAGGCTCCTTCTAATGCCAATGAACTAGAACCCTCCTTGAATATGTTAATATGTTTGTATGAATAAATTAATTAATAAATGAATATTAAATTGAAGCAAGGAATGAAAATGAATACTTATTTAAAGTAATGAATTGAAAATTATGCTTATGCAGAGAATGAATTAATGCATACATAATTATTATAGAAGATTAAGCAATTAATTGAAAAATGAATGAATGAATGAATTAGAGGTTTAAGACATTAATTGTTATGGTTATGTAATAACCTAGGAGTGTAATTGTAACAATTAAAAGTTTGGGTACTTAATTGAAATAATTAAGAAACTTTAGGGATCATAATTACTCTAGAAAATGTCTAGAATAAGGGCTAGATTGTGAGAAATTGAAATGTTACATATTGAAATTAGAGGGATTGATTGTATTGATTAAAAGTTTAGGAGTCAAAATGTAAATTTTGATAAATTAAGGAACCAACTAAATTCAGGTGGAAATGATCATTTCCAGCCAGAATTAGGCTGGAAAATGAAAAGGAAGAAAGGTCAAATAAATTTGGCAATGTGAGGAAATAAGTAGGAGAAGTTAAAAAGGAAAGAAAAATGGAGAAAAGTCTAGAAAAAGGCATCAAATACATGAACTTAGGATGAAGCCAAGTGTACTACACTTGGTCGAATCCCAAGGAAATTCTTGTCTATAAATATGGCAAGAAGGGAAGGAACACGAGGATAGAAAAATAGAGAATTCAAGGAAACACTAAGGAAATTCAAGCTCCTCCAAGTAAAACTACACCAAACCACCACCCAAAATCATTTAAACTAAACATCCTAAAATCAACCTAAAACAATCTAGGAGAATCAAATAAAAAATGAGGAAAAACTTGGAATTGGGTCGAAAGTTGGAGAGGAAAAGAGGAGGAAGAAGTTCAAGCCAAAAAGGATGAGAATTTGGCTAGCAACAAGTGAAGTAAATGTAGTCCTCACTACACCACAAGAATAAGTTATTTTGGTGCTTAATTGTTGATGGTTTAAAGTTTTATTGATTATGGATTGATGTTTGATTATTGAAGTTGTTATGAAATTGTTTGATTGTTAGTTTAGGTATCCAAGATCCAACTCTGTTTGGATGATTTGATGTATTATATTATTGCATTTCAAATTAATAAAAAAAATCTTTCTATCAACTCTTTTTATTTATAATTTGATAGAATTAGATAAAAATCCATATGATATGCATTACATTCATAATTGATCAACAAATATGAGACAAATATCAATGCACATAAATAATATCATTAAATACCTCAAATCATAGCATTGTCAAGATTGGATATTGATAATATGCGGTAAAAGTTATGAGTGTCATGCTCTTGCTAAAAGATATAGTAGTAGAAGATCTCACACTTATCGAGCATGGTGATACCAAAGCAAGCACGCAAGTGAATAATGTTAGAGAACATATCACCTGGATGTGACTCACCATAAGAATCCATTTGGTATAATCTATGAGAATCTCATACGAAATAGGTACAAGTAGTCATTTGACTTGAAGTCATTACGGTTATCTCATTAAAGGATTGATGTACTTTGACATTTGTTTCGATGGGCTCGGTAAAGAGCTGCATGTGAGCGATTCATTTGGTGTATCGAAATCTAATAGAGATGGGTGGATAACTAAGATAGGGCATATCATTTCTTATATGCTAAAGGAGTTTTCATATTGTACTTTGATGAATGTCCGTTTAAGAATCTATGGCCACGGTGGAAGTATACCAATAGAGCATAGTTGATTTAATTGAGAGCTAAAATATTTGGAGATTGAAGAAAACTTATGTGATCATAATCAAACCGAGAATAAACCAAGTTTGAGATCACACTATGATAAATTAAAATTAGGACTAAATTATATGAAAACCATTCTTGTGAAAGGTTATTATGAATTAAGTAATCCTTATAGATAATTGAATAATTCCTAAGATCGATGAATTAAGATATTTGTATGCCTAATTATTGATTCATGCATACTTTGATTGTTTGGAACATGTTTATGGTTGAAATTATGTGTTACATATTCTTTTGACTTGTTAAGTATGGATGAGTAAAGTAAAGGAATGAATTTGAATGAAAGGAAAGGTGATGAATTAATTTATATTTATATGTTTATAAATGAATGAATGATGTTATGATTGATTTATGCCTGTTTAGTTGTCATTGTTTGAATTGCTATATTCTATTAAGTATATGTTTTTCATGATGAATAATGTTTGTTTGATGCATTATTGTACTTATGCATGCTTTAGTTAATTTGTACATATCATGTTTAAAAGGATTGTTTACAAGTACTTTCATTTACTAAGCATGCATATTTGAGGCAAAAGGTAAGGCAATGCATTTCATTTAAATGCATTTGCACATCATTATCATGAAAAGGAAAAAAGATTTTTTTACTTCGTGATTTTGATGAAAAGAAAAAAAAATGGATTTTTTTAAAAAGGAAATGGCTAGACATCTTCGAGAGGAAAAGAAAAAGAAAAAGGAAATGACATTATTATGCGAAAGGAATGATCAACCTCTCAGTGAGGAAAAAAAATAGAAAAAAAAAGGAAAAGGGAAAGGAAATGTCATTTAAATTTATTCTTTTCAAAAGGAAAGAATGAGAAAAAAAGAAAGATGTCTAGTGCTTTTTATGATTTTTTACAAATTGCATATTTTAAAAAAGGACCGATTATTTATACAATCGAGTAGAATGTGCTTAAAAAGGAAAATGAATTTCAAAAGACAAGAAAAGGATTTTTAAATGCATCACATACATTGCATGCATGGATTACACTTACCGAGCATCACTCATATTTCTTGTATGTAGGTATATAAAATGCTAGGTGAATATCGTTGCTTGAGGAGGAGAAACTACTTGCCGATATGTGTACTTAATTATTAGTAGTGAGTGAGAGACCTTTCTTTCTCTTTTGTTATGTTTTGGGGCTTGAATATGATATGTAAAATATGGTATAACTTACCTTAAATATTAGACGGAATATGTATATTTAATCTTAGTCAATTGGTAACTCTGATGATATTCATGAATTGATAAACAAGTTTAAAATGAAGTAGGTAGAGTAATGAATTAAGGAATTGATTGGAAGTCAACTGGATGTAATAATTGAAGAATTGAATTGATTTAATAAGTAAGAAACTAATTGGCAAGAAGTACTGCAAGTTAAATGGTAAGGAATAAATTCAATGGTTAAGAAATGAATTTGATGGTTAAAGGAATAAATTGAATTTAATAGATAAAGATTAATTGAATTTAATGGAATAGAATTAATCATTGTTGACGTCGACCATTGTGAGGAGCGGACAAGGAGTCACCACCTAGCTAATTGGGGAGAATTAGAAAACCCTAAATATACTTGGTCT